CCTTGCGTATGAATGAAAGAAAGCTTTGAGATTCTTCATCATAATATGAACTGCTAATTGATTTTGAGTCATTGACATGATAATTACTTCTTCCATTTAACGAATTATTGCTGAGTTGAACAATGTCCACTGATCTATGTCATAATAGGTTCTTCCAAGATTTCATAGAAAAATATGAGCCGAGGTGAGAGTAGACATCGGTGTGTCCTTGGATCGAACGGTGAGTTGAGAATCGTCGCATGGTGGCACCGTTTCGGTTTCCCGGAGTCTCTCGACCCGATCGTCTTTATAAACTTGGAACATGGGATATGAAGGGACAAACACCTTGGCTATTTCTGGGGGAACATTTTGAAGGCCTCGGACACAGCTTCCACAACATTCCAGCAATCACGTTCTACCACCAGCTGCTGCACATTTTTTTTAGTTCCCAAACTTCCTTCTATAAACACCTCTATTAGACCACAAATTCCTCTGGCAAATTGGTTTCATGTGATCAAGATTTTTGTTATGCTATAAACGGTGGACCGTTGGCTGGTTGTGTAGCTAATATGTCTTGTCCATATCTTGAGATATATGGAGATGAGAGTTCGACTGCTGAATACTTTGTAAATGATATCGTGCTATATGATCGAGTGTTGGGTGACTTGGAGACCTCATCTGCAAATGGAAGTGTTATATTTGGGGCCATTTGGAGGCTGAGATGGTCCTTCTTCACAAGGTGGCAGCTACTGCAATTGAAAATTCACGTGGGTGGTGAGTTAAAAAAATAAAGTGAAAAATCGCATCAAGAGTCCTCAATGATTGGTAAGAACTTGGCCTTGTCTCATAGTTTCCTTTAGTATTAATTTATAGCTCAATAGTGCAAATTAATTCAGTTCAGTCCCTAATTTTAGTGATTAATTATTAAAGTAGTCCCACAAGTATTCTATTATACTAATTGGGTTTCCAAATTATTATTTCAATTCTAATAAGCTATCTTTATGGCAAGGGAAATTTTTTAGATACGAGTAAGTAATTTTGATGCCTGGATCGTGAGGAAAATATTGGAAGTTGAATTAAAGATAGTGGGTGTTCGAATGAAATTTAAATGGTCGACCAGTATGGCACGGAAAATGAGGTAATACTTTACTACCTCTTTATGCTTTATGGAACATGTGAATATTGGTAAATGCATGAATAAGATAATGTTGATCTCATTTGGGTAGTTAATGAATTTCTACACTTGATCCGAATACAGTAGAAATTTTGTAACTGATTATGGTTCAGAGAACTTTTATAAGAAATTGAGGAATTGTTAGAATTAAATTTCAAGTTATGTGTTTGGTAATAAAGAAATCAATCTGGATCGGTATCTTATAATTTATTTCATCAAATGTTAAAGGTACTTGGATGGGAAATTATAAGAATACTCTAGTAGGGTAAAATTATGAAAATACTCTTAAGTTATAAGATGTAAAGAATTGTCTCTAGAAGTTGATTAATAACTCTAAAAGGATATATTGATATGATAAAACTACATATGTGCATAAGAAATGCTAGTTTTCTTAGAAAATTCGGATAATCGATTTTCAAAACCAAGAGGGTTTATGCAAGATACAAGAAGTCTGTTAAGAAATCATTTCAAGATCAGAGAATGTCCGGGAAAGCAATTAATCATAGGATCTCTAAATTATATTATTTTTATTAAGAGTTAATACCGAAATTATCTGGTTAAGAAATTACGAAAATGCCCTTGAGAGGTAAAATAGTCCGAGTTGACCCTGAATGAGAAAGTACTTTAAGGATTCGTACTTAAACCGATTAAGTACAAATTTGATTGTTAAGACCCTGACTTAGTGCAAAAAAATTCCTGATATTCCTTTGGTAAAAATATGAGAAGGCACTTGACCCGAAAATATCCGAGTTATGAATAAATACCTGAAGAACAATTTATAGGGAGTATTCTTTTGTAAGAATTGTTCGAATGGACTGAAATAAATGATAAGTTTGAATTTAATAATAAGATCGAACGGAAAGAAATGATTGAAATACACTGGATCTGTAAAACGACCAGAATACCCCTGTAATGAAAATGACCCAAGAATATCACCAAGCTCAAGAATGATGGGATATTCTCGAGCTCTGTAATGATTGGAATAAAACTGGACACCAAAATACCCTTATGACCTAGAATAAGTAAATATCTTGGATTAATTAAAGAATCCAAATAAGCATAGGTGTCGGACTACCTTTAAAAGTTATGAAACACAACTTAAGTGAGCCGATCAACTTTAATGATATGTCAGTACCTGAAAGACATAAATATTACTTGAATGTGTGTTCCTCTACTCAAGTGTGGCTTGATGATAAGTTTAGAAGTATTCAACTCAGCTAAACTCTAGATCGTATTCAATATTAAGAAGTGGATATTCATTAGACAAATCAACTACGACTACCAAATTGAATAAAATGGAAGTACAATATGTATCTGAAATTTAGAAACGTCTGAATTACTATGGAAAACCCCGAAGTAACTATAAAGGACTTGACTGCTAAATGAACTAAGTAACCTCAAGGACTGAGGATTAAGTAAGTGCTTGGAATAAGTTTGGAAACTCGGATGAACTTATGTGATGTATCATCCCTATGGATTATGAACCACAAATCAAGTACATCGACATTTCCTGGTATAGTTGAAACATGCAAATGAAATAAAGTCCATTAGAATATTTGTTCGTCTCCTTAAGATCTGTTCAGTGATGACTCAGAAGATGATCTATGTATAAGAATATTTTATATTAAAGAGTAAATACCCTGGAAGGTTAATGAATTGACAACTTGATAACTATTGGTTCTGGGAGCTATTCATCTGGAGTTGTTCGATAATAGGATTAATTGTCATAGATTGTAAAGATTCTGAATACCTTCAGATTTCGTAGAGCTTCCGAAAAGTGTCCGAATAAGATGATCATGATAATTCATATTTTGAATAACTGATGATTCTGTCAGTTAATAAACTCTTCCAATAGTGATTCTAACTTCCGACATTCTATCAGTATATTGAAAATCTGCGTGTCTTTGCCTGTTAAGATTATCCAATACCTCTGAATAATATCTGTAAACTATGGTGTGTTCCTTAATCATATAAATATTTTATCTGATTTGCGACTTGAATTTTGTTCTGATACATTATCTGAATTCTGTTCTGATTTTTGATCTAGATTCTGTTCTGATATCTAATCTGAATTCTGTTTTGATTTCTGATATCTCCATTTACCAACAGAGAAATGTTTTATCTGGGGGGTTTATTGTTGGAGGAAGATTATCTGCAGACTCCTCGGCTTTGTGCTCAGGGTCTAAATGGCATGTGCGGTTGGGTGTATGGTTCTGGGGAACCTACACATTTATGATGTGAACGGATGGGGATATATATATATATGTGTGTGTTTTAAAAGATTTGTATCTTTTTACTGGTTTTACGGGAACACACTAGATAACCTATTCTGATCTCCTGAACTCAGTCATTCGAAATATTTATCTGAACTGAAAGCTCATTATCCGTTACCATCTGAAATATCAGCAGGATCTCCGATTAGCATAAAAATCTGTAGATGTTCGGAAACAATAAGAAAACATATGTTTATCTGTATTTGCACGTTCTTCAGCATCATCTGGTAGTTTTGTATTACTGAGTTTTTCGAAGCTCACTCTATTACTCAACATTGCAGGTTAAAAGAATTGTGCCAGTGCAATTATCGTCATCAGTATGGGAGTTCTTCCGGCGTTTCTTCTAGAGATTGGTACATGTGATTAGGGGGTATGTAATTGTATTTTGTTTTAAATACGAGTCTGAAAATCTATTTAATTTTTTTTAATATTGATAAATGGTTTTATGAGTTTATATGTTATGATAAAAAGTTTTAAATTTTCTGTTATTTTTACAGTGGGTCGCACCGGTGGCCCTAATGTGACACTCCAAATCAGATCGGGTTACACGCATCGGTCTGAAGAAGTTACATTTAGTGGTATCAGAGCTTTGGTTTGAGTCAAAATTTTCAAGATAGATCGGCCGGTCAAATTTCAAAAGATGTCTAATCAGTACATGCCCTTAGACTACAATCGTATTTCTCTGAGCTGGAACTCCAAGGCTAAATTATCTGTAATGAGCAAACCTAAGTTTTATCTTGTAAGGCTCTACCTTTGCACAAAGGAATACCAGTAACATCTATTTGAATTCTGTAAAGTTTCTTACGAGCCATGTGAGAGCTATTCATCTGAAAAAATGATCCAACTCCAGAAATAAAATTGAGATATGTTATCGCTCTATGAGCCTAATTTCGTAAACAATGCTAAATTGATTCTACCAGGATATTTCCTTTCTAATTCTTTTATTGGTAAGAGGGAGAGTTCTGATAAGAATGTATACTCACCTGGTTTAAGATTAATAGATGGCCGATACTTCTGTAAAAACAACTTGAAGATATGATAGAATTGATTGAATTTTCATTTCTGCATTTCTGTGACATGAATGAATTTCGAGGATGAAATTCTTTTAAGGGGAGGAGAATTGTCACACCCTAAAATTTGGGGTTAGTTTTTTTTTATAAAGTTGAAATAACATACCAATAATAATGTTGGGTACCCAAGGAAATGTTGAAGAAATTAAGGGAAACTAAGTGTAAATTTACCCTTCTTTAAATCAGCAAGTATCAGAGGACTTCCTCTCCTGCATAGGACATATGTTCCTATAAAGTCAAAAATCCAGATTCGATATATCCATATCAATTTCTTCTTTGTCTCTTTCTGCAAGTAGTACAACCACTCCACCGCCAACACCTTTGTTTTCTATTGCTAGTTGCTTCAAAAATGAACCCTACAATAAAAAAATAATAGTTCTTAAACCATAGTGTTTATATCTCTTACAATACTAAAATTAGAGATTCAGAACTCTTTTAGCTTTAAGAGGTTCTGGAATTCACTTGAAAGTTTATCTTTTGGATTGATGGGAATTTTATTATTTTTAATACTATAACTTGGAAATTGAGAACCACACAAATGGAAGATATTTTTCAAAGATAAACCAGTTATAAAACTAAGAAAATAGGAGATTAGAAAGCCAAGCAAGAACACTTGGTAGATCGGCCTTCATCCAACACTAGTTTGCTTATTAGCCGTCAAAAGAATGACATGATTTTCATGAAGTGGGACTGGTGACATCACCGAACCATCCCACTTGAGGCTGTCTGTCAACTCTTTTCAGGTACATGTTAATGTGGGATATTGCAGATCCCATGCGAGTGTTCTGGAGATAGGTCCTTGGAAATTCTTCTCGGATTTGTTCATTCATACTCCGCCTGACTTGTTTAGCTGGTTGTGTTCGATTTCAGTTTCAAGAATATGGGATTTATCCAAGGACCAAGGATTTAGCTTTGAGGATTCTGCCATGTCTGGAAAGCCCGCTTCCTTGCGTAAGAATGAAAGAAAGCTTTGAGATTCTTCATCATAATATGAACTGTTAATTGATTTTGAGTCATTGACATGATAATTACTTCTTCCATTTAACGAATTATTGCTGAGTTTAACAATGTCCATTGATCTATGTCATAATAGGTTCTTCCATGATTTCATAGAAAAATATGAGCCGAGGTGAGGGTAGACACCGGTGTGTCCTTGGATCGAACGGCGAGTTGAGAATAGTCGCATGGTGGCACTGTTTCGGTTTCCCAGAGTCTTTCGACCCGATCGTCTTTATAAACTTCGAACATGGGATATGAAGGGACGAACACCTTGGATATTTCTGGGGAACAGTTTGAGGCCATTTTGGAGAAGAAGATGATGGATTCTAAAGCTCAAGAAAGAGCCTCGGACACAGCTTCCACAACATTCCAGCAATCACGTTCTACCACCAGCTGCTGCACATTTTTTTAGTTCCCAAATTTCCTTATATAAACACCTCTGTTAGACCACAAATTCCTCTGGAAAATTGGTTTCATGTGATCAAGATTTTTGTTATGCTATAAACAGTGGTCCGTTGGCTAGTTATGTAGCTAATATGTCTTGTCTATATCTTGAGATATATGGAGATGAGAGTTCGACTCCTGGATACTTTGTAAATGATACTGTGCTATATGATCGAGTGTTGGGTGACTTGGAGACCTCATCTGCAAATAGAAGATAGAAGTGTTATATTTGGGGCCATTTGGAGGCCGAGATGGTTCTTCATTACAAGGTGGCAGCTGCTGCAATTGAAAAATCACGTGGGTGGTGAATTAAAAAAAAGTGAAAAATCGCATCAAGAGTCCTCAATGATTGGTAAGAACTTGGCCTTGTCTCATAGTTTCCTTTAGTATTAATTTATAGCTCAATAGTGCAAATTAATTCAGTTCAGCCCCTAATTTTAGTGATTAATTATTAAAGTATCCCCACAAGTATTTTATTATACTAATTGGGTTTCCAAATTGTTATTTCAATTCTAATAAGCTATCTTTATGACAAGGGAAATTTTTTAGATGCGAGTTAGTAATTTTGATGGCCTGGATCGTGAGGAAAATATTGGAAGTTGAATTAAAGATAGAGGGTGTTCGAATGAAATTTAAATGGTCGACCAGTATGGCATGGAAAATGAGGTAATACTTTACTGCCTCTTTATGCTTTATGGAACATGTGAATATTGGTAAATGCATGAATAAGATAATGTTGACTCATTTGGGTAGTTAATGAATTTCTACACTCGATCCGAATACAGTATAAATTTGGTAACATATTATGGTTTAGAAAACTTTTATAAGAAATTGAGGAATCGTTAGAATTAAATTTCAAGTTATGTGTTTGGTAATAAAGAAATCAACATGGATCTGTATCTTATAATTTATTTCATCAAATGTTAAAGGTACTTGAATGGGAAATTATGAGAATACTCCGGTAGGGTTAAATTACAAAAATACCCTTAAGTTGTAAGATGTTAAGAATTGTCTCTAGAAGTTGATTAATAACTCTAAAAGGATATATTGATATGATAAAACTACAGATGTGCATAAGAAATGCTGGTTTGCTTAGAAAATTCGAATAATCGGTTTTCAAAACCAAGATGGTTTTTGCAAGATACAAAAAGTCTGTTAAGAAATCATTTCAAGATCAGAGAATGTTCGGGAAAACAATTAATCATAGGATCTCTAAATTATATTATTTTTATTAAGAGTTAATACTGAAATTATCTGGTTAAGAAATTACAAAAATGCCCTTGAGAGGTAAAATAGTTCGAGTTAACCCTGAATGAGAAAGTACTTTAAGGATTCGTACTTAAATCGATTAAGTACGGATTTGATTGTTAAGTCCCTGACTTAGTGCAGAAAAATTCCTGATATTCTTTTGGTAAAAATCTGAGAAGGCACTTGACCCGAAAATATCCGAGTTATGAGTAAATACCTGAAGAACAATTTATCGGGAGTATTCTTTTGTCAGAATTGTTCGAATGGACTGAAATAAATGATAAGTTTGAATTTAACAATAAGATCGGACAGAAAGAAATTATTGAAATACACTGGATCTGTAAAATGACCATAATACCCCTGTAATGAAAATGACCCAAGAATATCACCAAGCTCAAGAATGATGGGATATCCTCGAGCTCTGTAATGATTGTAATAAAACTGAATACTAAAATGACCAAAATACCCTTATGACCTAGAATAAATAAATGTCTTGGATTAATTAAGGAATCCAAATAAGCATAGGTGTTGGACTACCTTTAAAAGTTATAGAACACAACTTAAGTGAGCCGATCAACTTTAATGATATGTCAGCACCTGAATGACATAAATATTACTTGAATGTGTGTTCCTCTACTCATGTGTGGCTTGATGACAAATCAACTACGACTACCAAATTAAATTAAATGGAAGTACAATATGTATCTGAAATTCAGAAACGTCTGAATTACTATAGAAAACCCCAAAGTAACTGTAAAGGACTTGACTGCTAAATGAACTAAGTAACCTCAAGGACTGAGGATTAAGTAAGTGTTTGGAATAAGTTTGGAAACTCGGATGAACTTATGTTATGTATCATCCCTATGGATTATAAACCACAAATCAAGTACCTCGACATTTCCTGGTATAGTTGAAACATGGAAATGAAATAAAGACCATTAGAATATTTGTTCGTGTCCTTAAGATCTGTTCAGTGATGACTCAGAAGATGATCTATGTATAAGAATATTTGATATTAAAGAGTAAATACCCTGAAAGGTTAATGAATTGACAACTTGATAAGTATTGGTTCAGGAGCTATTCATCTGAAGTTGTTCGATAATAGGATTAATCGTCATAGATTGTAAAGATTCGAAATACCTTCAGATTTCGTAGAGCTTTCGAAAAGTGTCCGAATAAGATGATCATGATAATTCATATTCTGAATAACTGATGATTCTGTCAGTTAATAAACTCTTCCAACAGTGATTCTAACTTCCAACATTCTATCTGTATACTGAAAATCTGTGTGTCTCTGACTGTTAAGATTATCCAATACATCTGAATAATATCTGTAAACTCTGGTGTGTTCCCTAATCATATAAATATTTTATCTGATTTGCAACTTGAATTTTGTTCTGATACATTACTTGAATTCTGTTCTGATTTCTGATTTGGATTATGTTCTGATATCTGATCTGAATTCTGTTCTGATATATGATCTGAATTCTGTTTTGATTTCTAATATCTCCGTTTACCGACAGAGAAATGTTTTATCTGGGAGGTTTATTGTTGGAGGAATATTATCTGCAGACTCCACGGATTTGTGCTCAGGGTCTAAATGGCATGTGCGGTTGGGTGTATGGTTCTGGGGAACCTACACATTTATGATGTGAACGGCTGAGGGTATATATATATATATATATATGTTTTAAAAGATTTGTATCTTTTTACTGGTTTTACGGGAACACACTAGATAACCTATTCTGATCTTCTGAACTCAGTCATTCGAAATATTTATCTGAACTGAAAGCTCATTGTCCGTTACCATCTGAAATATCAGCAGGATCTCCGATCAACATAAAAATCTATAGATGTTCGGAAACAATAAGAAAACATATGTGTATTTGTATTTGCTCGTTCTTCAACATCATCTGGTAGTTCTGTATTACTGAGCTTTTCAAAGCTCACTCTATTACTTAACATTACAGGATAAAAGAATTGTGCCAGTGTAACTATCGTCATCAGTATGGGAGTTCTGGCGTTGCTTCCAGAGATTGGTACATGTGATTAGGGGGCATGTAATTGTATTTTGTTTTAAATACGAGTCTGAAAATCTATTTTATTTTTTTAATACTGATAAATGATTTTATGAGTTTGTATGTTATGATAAAAAGTTTTAAATTTTCCGCTATTTTTGCAGTGGGTCGCTCCGGTGGCCCTAATGTGACACTCCAGATCGAATCGGGTTACCCGCATCGATATGAAGGAGGTACAAAAAAGGCTAAAATTTCCTTTTTTTTTCTTCTTCTTGTATTTGAATTTAAAAGGAACGAATGGTGTGCAAATTGAATATAAGTGTAAAAACCCTTTAAATTATATTTTATAAGGGGCCCATGTTTGCTTGACACATGTGACAATGTGCAAGGTAAGTTGTCTTTGGATTTTCAAGGATTAATTCTTGGTGTAATCATTTTATCTTTGAATATCATTCATTTTAGTCATTTTTATTTAATTTTTTATCCTTTTTTTCAATTTTTTCTTTTTATTTAATATTTATTTATTTTTATTGTACAATTTAACAATATTTTTTACTTTTTAGGGGAATTTTTAAGTAATTAAGACAACCAACAAATTAAATGGTACCGAAAGGGCAGTTTAAGGGTGTTAATCCTTTCTTGATTGTAACCGACTCCCGAAACTGACATATTTCTAGTAAAACGCAGATAAGGTAAGATGGTGTACGATTAGCCTAAATATTTTTTTAAAATAATCGGTGGCAACTCTAACGTTTTTATTCAAGTCGAAACCCAATTCCGAGCCTACTCGAAAGACGGCTGCGACACAACCTTAGCAAAGTAAGTAGCAAGGCACCCTGCAACACAGAAGCCACTAGTTGTTCTCATTGCCTGCACATATCTAGAAATGAACATAATGCTACATCATATAATTATCTATACCAAAGGAAAACTATTATTAAAACTTATCCCTTTCGGACCAATGAAATTAGCAATCTGTCCGCTCATGATTGCACCAATATCCGTCTCCAGAAATTTATCAGAATTCTGAAAATCTTCAACAAAAGCATCGACAAAAGGAAAGCTTTTAGAGTTACAACTTCCAATCATCTTCAACAACACACCGGGTTCCTCAGGAAAATTATGAGAGTTCTAATGATCTTCAACAAGGCTAACGTGCACTTCCCATGATTCATAAGCGCACGACAACGAGCTTCGGATAGCAGAATTCAAGGAATCGGTTCGACATCGACTTATAAGCGTTACAGATGGAAGATCAGAGGTCACTGGCGGTGGCTTCAAATAAGTTGCTTGAACAGTAAGAGGATTGACACTGGTCGCAGTGTTCTCATTTTCAGGAACACACCAAGAGGGCTTAATTCATGAACGAAGGTAGGGTTCATCGGTGATGGCACGAACGGTGACGGTTGAAAGGCGACGGGTGAAAGGTTGAGAGTTTAGTCTACTCTTTATATTATAGGTTAGGGTTAGATTTTTTTTTAATTATAATATACTATCTAATTATAATAGAGGATTATTTAATAATGATGCCTCTCCCTGTAGAGATAATATCGTTGATGGGTCAGCCAACTATCATACTACTGCCAATGACTGCCCTACAAGTAGGATTGAGTTTGAGGAAGTCAAAATGGCTCTTAGAAAGATGGGGAGGGACAAAGCTGTCGGTCCAGATCAAATTCCTATCACTGTGTGGTTGACCCTAGGAGAAGAGGGAGTTAAGTGGTTGACCAACATCTTTAATATTATTTTAGAGACTGCCAAGATGCCAGAGGAGTGGAGAGAGTCTACGGTGATACCAATCTATAAGAATAAAGGAGATCCCCAACGTTGTGGCACTACGAGGTATTAAACTACTCACCATGAAGCTATGGGAAAGGATAATAGAGGCTAGGTTGAGACAGGTTACTAGGGTTTCAGAAAACCAATTTGGCTTTATGCCAGGCAGGTCTACTACGGAGGCGATTCATCTACTTCAACGACTTATGGAGAAATATAGGGAAAAAAATAGTGATCTTCACATGGCATTCATTGACCTTGAGAAGGCGTATGATAGCGTTCCCCGCGATACGATCTGGAAGACCTTGGAAATGAGACGGATCCCAACTGCTTATATCCGGGTGATTCGTGATATGTACTGTAGATCTACTACTACCGTCAGGACTACAGTTGGCGACACCAAGGCATTCCGGTGGAAATCAGACTTCACCAGGGGTCGGCTCTTAGCCCTTACATCTTCGCCTTGATTATGGACGACATCTATTGTGCGACACCAGACGGTGTTCCATGGGGTATGCTTTTCGCTGACAACATTGTCCTAATTGTTGAAACAAAAACTGAGCTGAATAGTAGACTTGCTACCTGGA